TGCAGAGTTTTGTTTAAGAGCATGAAGCTGGCAGCTGCAAAAATATGCACGAATTGGTTCTCAAAGCTCATCTAAGGATTAGTTTAGGGAGACAAAGAGTAAATTATTTATAATGAGAAGTGATATTAGCTACGATATGACATGCCCCATAAGGCATATCACAAGCCAGACAAAGTTCACGAGTGTCTCAGAAAACAAGCCAAAAAAGACTCCTAGATTAAAACAAAAGGTTTGTTTTACCCTGGTGAACTTTTCCCCACAAAAAAACCCCAAAACAACCCACTCTGTGTTTTGTTGCTCATTATTCACAGCCTTTGAGATGGATCCACTAGAAAATACCACACTGAAGGATGACTTGCCCGTGCCAAGTTAATCCTTCCTAGACATGGCACACCCCCAGAAGTAACGCCTCAACGAATGGGCTGCCATGTGAGAGGCAATGACTTCAGCTTACTTTCAGTGATGCCCTGAACATACGCCTGTCACTAGGTTGGGTAGAAAACGATTTTAAAGCAGTATCAAGACTAACGGAAAGGACTGCAGTCAGATATGACGCTCCACATAGCCTGACACCAGTGACAGATGGGCCACCGCAAGCTGACGCCGTTTGGAAAAAAACTGAAGGCAGGAACATCTACACATTAGAACCTGATGGAGAGGAATGGATGAACTATGTTCTTGGAGGAAGCTGATCTGCGTTAGGTAATACCCATCTCCCCTGGGTTCAGACTTCCGTAGTGCGTGTGTGCTGTATGTTACCGTTTCAAAAGTGGCTGGAAGCAGTGACATATTTCAAAGGCTTAAACCAGCAAGTGAGTGTAAACAAAATTCTGCATTACCAAAGCATTCTAAACCTGTAACGTATTTTGTACGTAGAGCACAACCAATCCTGCTCTGTGCCACACTTCTCTCCCCACCCGCTCCTCTTCCCTGCTTTACAGGCGAAACATGCACTGCACTTCCATCACCCCAACCACCAGCTATCACAGTGCGACTGCCTCTCCTCAGCAACACGCTGGCTCAGAGCTAACGTATGTAGGGTTCTGGGGAGACAGGAGCTCCAGTGGGGAGTTATGCCAAGAGAGGGTATCCCATATCCCAAAGGAAACACAAAAAAACGTTCTTCTCCCTTGTTCCCATGTGGTGGAGAAACCAGGGAAAAAAAATCCTACCTCTTCTCACTCTCTCTTTCCACTAAATTCACAGCAGGCAGGAGACTGACTACCTCTTCCCCACAAATGACCCACTGGCCCCTTTTCCAAGACACTTAATAATATTGTGACTTAAGTACTTCAATACAGCTATTAGCAATGTTGAAAGACTCCCCTGACACCAACCACCGCGGAAGGTTGGTGACTCACTGCTGCAGAAGAACACCGTGAGAACACATTCCACCAAGCATCCTCCCTTTGGGAAGACTCGGTTTCTTACAAACGGCACGAAGCAGCAGAAACGGATGCAATTGTCAGGTGAAAAATAATTACTGATGAAAACAGCCTAAACCACCCTGAAACATTCCCGAAAGGAAGTAGTCTGATGTTTCCATATTTTAATTTATACGTTTGTCCAGTTTTGTAAACTGGGACTTAAGGGGTTTAAAAAGCTTGAAACAGAAGTGCTTCACTGGACACAGAACCATTTTTTGGGTTTTTGTTTTTGGTTTTTTTTACATTTTCCATGTTTTGGCAGCAGCAGCGATTTGAGGCACCTCTGCTCTTCCTCCGCGAGTAACCGCAGCCCACAGAAGGCTGCCTGACTTTCTGACGGTGTGATACGGACAAACCAGGTCCTTGCACAGAGCCTGTAGTTGTTCTAATTGCAGAGCGTCGCAGGCAGACTTACAGTAAGTTATTCTAATAAAGTGATTAGAATCACTACAGTCCATGCTATAAAGAGCTCAGATTTGGGGATACAGGTCCCTCTGACTGTGAAAATTCATACCTGCTGTTTACACCAGCCTATCGTCCTTCATATAGCCATTCTGAGCACAATGTGGTCATTTAATAAACCATTTTTCCCTATCTTCTTGATATCAAAACACCCGTAATTTATGACAGCTGTCACCTACCCACTCTTTCAATTAATTTTATAGAAAATAATTCTATAGATTTTGTAAGAATCAGGTAGAGCTCAACATTCAGGATACGCCTTTCATACAGCTGCACGCAGTTGTGTCTGCCAGCTTCAATTCCAACTGGATTATTTGCTGCATGAGTTGTTGAGATACCTGATCTGAAGACCAACATGACTTTTCAGATTTCTGCCAAGCTGCACTGTATTTTTTTATGCTTTCTCTTGCCCTTTATGTCCACCTTTGACAATACGCAGTTGCTGTTTCTGTGCTGCCTCCCAGTTTGCGTCACGTTACAGGTGCAACGCGTAGACATCCATTCAATACCGTTATTAAAACAGGAAGCCTCTCCCTAATAAAGCATTTAAAATGCATCTGTCAGAACAGCAGCTAGTTATCAAATGAGGTAGGTATGACTCCCAGTAAGCTTGGCTTACTGGCTTCTTTTCTTAAGGCTGATAATAGCATTATCAAAATGTCTAAGCATATGCTTCAGAAAAGAACAATGTAAATAATATCCCCAGCCGAAAAGGAGACAAATTTGCATCTGCACACACAGATATTTATCTGTACAGCTTTTGTTGTTAATGTTTTTGCTTGTTTAATGATTGACATTTTCAAAGCTTTCTCTGCTTGAAGGGTATTTTTTGTCAGGAACATTTAGATTTGGGGTTGAAGATTACTGTTCTATTCTTACAGTGAAATCAATTCCATTTCTTGAAAGAAAGCTTTTGAAGTGTTTCTTATATATGGCAGAAGTAGAGATTGACAGCACAATGATCCTCTTCACTATTCTTATGATCAGCAGCTGTTAACCTATTTTTATCAACAACTTCATTACACCACGAAATGCTTTTGCAAAGTGTCGATGCTGCTGGTGAGATCATTCCACATGAGCAGACTTCTTATGAATTTTTACAAGCAGGTTCCAAAAATCTCACTTCAAGAAGTAACCAAGTGCCAAGCCATCCTCCTCCAACACACAAGGCCTCCTTTTCTTGCCACTCACGCTCAGGTAAGCACAACCCACTCAGGTCATAGATGGGCATCTCCCAGACACCTTTGTGTCATCCCTCTGAAAGTTTCAGCACCCTCCCTAAACCCTTTGGTGGGGCTCCACAGTATCACGGGATGCCACTACTGTATACAGAGCCCAAGGTAAGCGCTCACAACTAGTTTTCCCATGTCAGACACAGTTCTCTGTATCTTGGCATTCAGAAGAAAGAATCAAAAAGAGCATTTTCTAACTGCAGCGAACACATAGACTGATATCCTGATGTCAAGGAGGAAATGAGGGACATAATGTGCCCAGCAGGACGAGGGAAGTGACAGTCCCCCTGTACTGGGCACTGGTGAGGCTGTGCCATGACTCCTGTTTTCAGTTTTGGGTCCCTCACTCAAGAAAGACACTGAGGTGCTGGAGCGTGTCCAGAGAAGGGCAACGGAGCTGGGGAAGGGTCTGGAGCACAAGTCCTGTGAGGAGCGGCTGAGGGAGCTGGGGGTGTTCACCCTGGAGAAGAGGAGGCTCAGGGGAGACCTGATCGCTCTCTACAGCTGCCTGAAAGGAGGGTGCAGAGAGGTGGGGGTGGTCTCTTCTCCCAAGTGACAAGGGATAGAGCAAGAGAAAACAGCCTCAAGTTGTGCCAGAGGAGGTTTGGATGGGATATTAGGATAACATTTCTTCACCAAAAGGGTTGTCAGACACTGGAATGGGCTGCCCAGGGAAGTGGTGGAGTCACCATCCCTGGAGGTAAAAGAATGTGGATGAAGTGCTTAGGGACACAGTTTAGCGGTGGACTTGGCAGTACTGGGTTAACGGTTGTACTTGAGGATCTTCAGGGTCTTTTCCAACCTAAAAGATTCTGTGATTCCAAAGCACTATTGGTCTGTGTGTCTCTAGACGCATGAGCAAGGAGACCCTGACTCAGCCTTACTACTCTGACTACTCGCACTCTTTAGACATTCACAGTCAGGACCTGCTGTGTATCAGGTAAATCGTTAGACTGGATGAACTGTGGACTTGGTGTCAAATTATCCCCCAAGAAATACTAAGGAAGGACCAAAAAATATGGTGAAATTAAATTTCTTCACGTGTAATAAGAAGGGGGATGCTTTGGCCACTTTACACACTGGAAGCCATGACAGAGCATGGGAAACACCATTCCTTGACCTGTGGAAGGAATACAGCTTGGCATGTCAGACCGCACCAGTGATTTCACCCTCACTGCGGTCTCTGACACAGGCTTTCATTTCTTGTCCCGTGCATCTCTGCTCTATGATCCTAACGAAGAACTTCAGAATCAAGCAGGTGCTCAATGGATAAATTAAGATGGAATAATAAAAATTTCTCACAGAGGTATGTAGGGTTTGCAAATATGGTTTGCATTCTATGCTTCCGAAGGGCAAGAAAGTAGAGCATTAGATTCACCCAACTATTTCATAGTTCTCACACTGTGTACTGGGGCCTACAAGGAAGCTGGGGGGGACTTTTTGCAAGGGCCTGTAGTGACAGGACAAGGGGTAACGGGTTTAAATTGAAAGTGGGGAGGTTTAGATTGGATATCAGGAAGAAGTTCTTCCCAGAGAGGGTGGTGAGGCACTGGAACAGGTTGCCCAGAGAAGCTGTGGATGCCCCATCCCTGGAAGTGTTCAAGGCCAGGCTGGATGAGGCTTTGAGCAACCTGGTCTAGTGCAAGGTGTCCCTGCCCATGGCACGGGGTTGGAACTGGATGGTCTTTAAGGTCCCTTCCAACCCAAACCAGTCTGTGATTCTATGATTCTATGATTTTAGCTAGTCATTGTTTTTGTGTAGAGCACCAAGAACAAACAGGAGACATATATGGACTTGGTCCCCATGCAAAGTACACGTTTACAATCTTTCAATTTTTTTCTTTAACCTGCCCACTGGGCCCACCTCTGATATACCTACCAATAAAACCTGAAGAAGGAGGGTTGGGCTGTATCTTCTCTTTAGTGTTCTCCTGAATGATATCCCAGAGCTGCCATATAAACTTTGGATGGAGAATGTAAAACGGCTGGTTTGGATTCTTCCTGCGATGCTGTACGTAGGGAGTGAACAGGTTGTAGTCCGGCTTCTTATACCACTGGGAGGAAAAAAGCAAGAATTCTTATACTCTTGCAGTGTCCAGTGTGTTTCGAACACGACACGCAAAACAACGTGAACTAGTTTCATCCACGTTCTTCCGCACAGAAGCAAAGGCAGCAAAAGCAGCCTGCACTGGTGGGTGCTTGTCCTAGAGAGCCAGTAACTCTGCGTTATACCCCACTTCCTTTCTTCAGACAGGGACTCCCAGTAAGCAATTCACTGCAGCGGGACAGGCCAACCCCACCTCCCGCTCACGGGCCCGTGTTAAACAAGGGGTTCAAACAGCCCTGACACGAGACCCCGGCGTAAGGGCGAGCCTGCTTCTGGAGCGGCCCTGTCCCTGCCGGCCGCAGCACAGGAAGCAGCTGGATGGTGAAGGCGGGCAGCCCCTGGCATCGGCTGCAAAGGGGGTTCATGAGATGAAGGTTTACTTTCTACTTTGCAGCTTGCTAAGCTCTTGGTCCCCCTGCCAAGAACCATCAGATCAACTGGTCCGCTGGAGCTGCAGCACCAGCCAAAGCAGAGACTCGCCCCGTGACAACCAGATGGACGTCTGCTGCTCCTCAGCGAGGGGGCGGTTGGTGGGGCGCAGATGGCTGCGGGGGAGCAGGCACAAAGGGAAGGCTGGTGGGGAGGAGGCCTGAGAAATGGGGAAGGCGCCAAGAGAGATTTTCATAGGGGTGTTGTGTTTTGTCTGGGAAGGCAGAGGGGAAGGTGGGAAAAAAACGGGTGCAATTCTTCACCTTTCCTAATAAAGCCTCCTTCTGAGATCTAGCAATGTTCCCTCTTTGGCAAACACACAGAAAATTCACTGTTAATGACAACAGCAGTATTTTATCAAAAACCCCACCCCATCACCCACCTAACCTAGCGTCGCAGAGCATCTCAGTACAAGTGCTGGCTACTAGAAAGCTTTTGACCAATAAGCCAATTTTGACCAACTCATGCAGAAATAGTGTTCCCCACTCCTTCAATAAAGGAAGACTTTGGGGTTCATTGTGACAAGTGAGAACAGGAGACTGAAGTAATAAATACACTCATTTTCTCCACTGCTTTCAGAATGGTTGTGAAGAAAGGACCAAGCAGACACCTTACCACGTTCAGATTTGCCGAGTAAGGGGCAGGATCCCAGGCTACTAAGATAACATCTTTGTACAAGGAGCTGTCAACAAAGTGATGGTTCGGGTTGGTGAGAATCTGCAAACACAGATGCAAAGAATTGTACAACGTTAAAAGCAAGTGGGATCCAGAAAAAGGGCAAAAACATTCTCTAAAATGAACAGTCTTCCCCACGCTGCTGTTTGTTCTGATTTAATTCTCCTCAATTTTAAGCATCATGTTTTGTTAAAAAAATATATATAAAAAAGAGCTTAGCCATAAACAGCACTCGTGACATTTTGAAGTGGCTGTATGCTGAATTACTCTCCATCTGTGAGGGATGTGATGGGACCACTTGAGATGCTGCATAATTGTATATCAACATTACCATGTATTCTGGAACTTGGAAAACGAAAGCTAAGGTATTTCAGACTGCCTGCAGGATCCCCTTCTTAGACACAGAGCAGCTTTCTTTGAAGGGCTGCAGCCCCCCAGGATAAGGTCTTTCCCCCGGCCCCGCTCCTTTTAGTTGCTTTCTCATTTCAGCAGCAAGATAGTTTCATTTCAAGTAATTCCAAAAAGGTGAATTAGACCATGACTGTAAAAGCTGGTATAAGTAGAAAAAAAAATTCCAGGAACAGGCACATGACAGGGCTATTTTTGAAGTAACTATCATGGTGCTCTGATCCCCTGCTCTCTTAGAACTTCCTCCCACATCTCCTGGTCCTCTGCCTGATCCTCTTGCTCCACTGGAAGCTTACTCTTCACTCCTTGCTGGTTCATCCCTTCCTGGACCCTCCATGCCTAATCAGATCTCTCTGATCTCTGGTGCATCCAATCTCAGGCAGGGTTGAGCTGAACGGTTTCAGCATTGGTTGAAACAGTGTGAATTTGGCTCCAGCTGTTAAGCTAATCAACATTCCAGACAAATAAATTCATACTAATTTTCATTTCCCTTTAGGATCCAATGAGCCATATTTGATTATGCATATTTTTCTTCAGAAAAATAATATTGTTGCCATAGCAATATCCTTCCTACCATAAACTTGGAGCTTAATGACTTTCCATCAGCCTTCTACAACAAGAACAGAATTAGTCGTGCTGCCACCAGCATCCCTACCTCCCTTTCTCAGAGCAGTTTTTGCCTGAGAAAGTAAACTCCTTTTTTGAGAGTACAGAGTAAACAGACCAAAAGGTCAAGCTTTTAAAAGCCTTGTTCTACAGTTATCACACAAAGGAGCTCTTACTTGCCTTTCAGTGAGCAAGAGTCCTTTGGAGGTGTTGTCCACACAAATTTCACTCTTAGTGAGCCTGCATTCATATGCATGAGATGAGTTTCTTCTGGAATAACAATATCTGTTGTGGCTGCGCTGGCTTCCTTCATGTCCTTTGAGCTCTCACAGCAGAGAACATGAGGGAAGAAGAGGGCCACAGCAGCATTTTAATCAACGGAATGCAGGCACTTCCAACAGCGAGGAGGGAGCGAGGGTCAGTAAACCTGTATGGGTAACCCATCTTCAGTACAGGTAG